TGTGGAGACGTCGAAAGAAAACCGGAAACCGAACCGCCGCCAGCCCGTGCCGAAAGTCCAGAGGCCCACCCCAGCAAACACCCCGCCTGGCCTTTGCTCACAGCACATTTGAGCGCCCCTTTTCAACTTGCCACCAGTTGCAGACGAGTCATCACAACAAAGAAGCACGAAACAGGCATAAACCGCTCTGGATTCCCACGACGCACTACTTTTCGAACCTTGAGCTATTGCCACGAATTGAAAGGGCTTTTGAGATATACGCATCGCCCACCTGGGTTCAGCGAGACATCATGTCATACACCAACCGACGGGTTGTCAACGTCTCCCAGTACCTGCGCGACCTCAACGCGCCGGAGCCTACTGTGGAGGAGACATACATCACGGACGATGACCTCGCCAAGGACCTCGCACTCTTCACAAACACGCAATTCCTCGATTTCGAGACGGGCCAGAACACCGATTATCAGGCGCCAGCTGTGAAGCCCGATGTTGCAAGACGGCCATCTTCAGTCGATGATGTTGTCACGCCTACTGATCCCCTTTTGGAGGACTTCTCGCCAAATCTTGATTTCATGTCAAGTGAGTTGCTCTCTTAGTTCTGGGCTGGGTCTTCATGTTTGCTTCATTTTCATTTCATTTTTTCTCATCTTGGACGTGTCAAGTCTTGCCCATATGTTTGAGGCTTTTCCTCTCCTCTGTTTCTGCGTTTGGCAATGGGTGGCACACAAGTCACTGAAGTCGAAATCGTCATCGATGAACCCTGAAAATGGGTCCACAGCCGAGGCCAGTGCCTATGGGAGAGAAGCCCCGAACACCAGCGATTGGGGATGGGACGGTAGGGCGCCGGTGTGCAGCCGACCAAAGAGGGGCGTTTACCTTATCGCGAATCGGGAGGAGAGCGAGCTGCCCCACTCCCACGTTCTCAGAGTTTCGGTGCTCAGTCTCGGTGACCCCCATGCTCTCTGGGCGCCGCCTTGATTGAGGGGTTGGCTTTCGAGATGTGTGCCGTTTGCGCGCACAAGCTCCTGGGGGGTGTCTATATGCGCCCTGTTGGGCGCTGACAAATGATCGACGTTCCCGAGATGGTGCCATTCCCCGTGACCCGCGGCCGATTGCACCATCGGCCATGGGGCATCAACAGTGGCTATTCCGACTGGCCTTGCATCTGGCTCAATCCGCCCGGACCTCCTCCCTTTTCATTGGCGACGCTGCCGTTCTGGTTCTGGCACCAGCTTTCTCTTCTGTTTTGTCTTGGATTCGCAATGTGCCTTTCTTCGCTGTGAGCCGCTTTCACCGCATGCTGACCATGGCACAATGGCTCCAGGCGAGTTTAGTTTCGGGGACTTTGGCAGCACCTACACTTCACCCACCATCCCGTCCTTCCCTGATAGCCTAGGAAACCTGCAGCCCATCCAGCCCAACCCCCAGACCGCCTATCCACCGCCTGTTTCTCAGCACCAGCCAGGGTATGTACCGTCCGCCCCCCGGATAGGGGGGGAGAAGCGCAAAGCTGAGCCCATTAGCCCCCCGAATCGCATGTTGAGTTTCGAGGAAGCCTCACGACTGGCTGCCGAGGAGGATAAGCGGAAACGCAACACCGCCGCCAGCGCTCGCTTCCGTATTAAGAAGAAGCAGCGTGAGCAGGCCCTCGAGAAGTCGGCCAAGGAAATGACAGAGAAGGTCACGGCGCTGGAAAACCGCATCTCAGCACTCGAAACCGAGAACAAGTGGCTCAAAAGCTTAGTGACGGAGAAGCACGGCGGCAAGGACGACATCCTGAAGAAGCTGTTAAAGGAATTTTCCACTCAGGGCATCAAGTCTGGAGGGAGCGACGACAACAGCAAGGATAGCGACAGCGCCTCTGGTTCGAGCACAGCCGCCGACGACTCAGACAGCAAGAGGTCGACAAAACGGAGAGACTAAAAGGACGATTTCAGCTTCAAATAAGTTGTCGGCAGAGTGGGCTCGGACGGGGACCTTGAAGTATATACCATCATTGATTGGGCGTTATGTGTGTGCGAGCGGGGAGGCAAACTTGAATTTCTGTGCTTTTACGGCGTGAGGATAAACCCCAGCGCATCTCGCTGGCGGAGGGGGGAAGGAGGGAGGGGGCAGGTTCTCGGGGGGAACGGGAGGCGGGAAAGTAAACGCACGTCGATGAATCCACGACGCGATTGCTCATGCTGTAATGAGTTTTCGATGCTCGGGAGGGACGAGCTTCTCTTTCTGACGGATACCCGGGATGACATTTGCATTTTCCGCGTTCATTTTTGCTGTCTATAATGTTGCTACATCCCTGAGCAGTCGAGCAGTCGTGGCCTTGTGTACTACAGCGAAAGACTCGAAAAAGATGAACGGTCAAACACAAAAGTGTGTTCATTGCTCTGTCTTCGATGGTGCAGGCTCCTGAACAGTCTCCCCACGCAGATTCGCCAGCCTCAACTGGTTCCTCTTGCCCAGAATGCGCAGCGTGTTCTGGCGCTCAAGATCGCACATCTCATTCCAATTTGCAATCCGACTGACCGTTCCGTCTCTGCCAATAACCATGGGTCCGAGCTTGTCCAGGGTAACTGCAGCACCGTTGACCTCAATCACCGTATTGCCTTCCTCTCCGGTGGAAGCGGGCAACGCTGGCAACGCTTTCGGCGCTCCTCCAGCTGGCTCCGACGCCGAAGCCGACGCCGACGATGTGGAGGCTTTACCACCACCAACTCCTTCCTCAACCGCAGCGGCGTCTGCAACGGTAGGGTAGAGGCGCTCCGCTGGCGCTGGTGCTGGCGCAGGGGCGGCCTCAGCCTGGTGCTGAGATGTCGAGCTCCCGGGGACCGGTGACGTGCTCGGTGCCTGTGCTGCTGCCGCGGTGCTGGCGTTGCGTGCGGGGATCATCCTCACGCAGTGTTGCTGTCGCGGGGAGTGGAAATAGCGGGAATGAATTGCTGGTCGAACGAGACGACGGCAAATGAGGCCGGTGGGGGTCATACACGCGATCCCTGATGGTTTGCGGGACGGCGGTTTGAGAGGTGAGGTACTGTTATGGGTTGGAGAGTTTGGGGTGTGGGTGAGTGAGAAATTGAGGTTGGTGATTCGTCCGGGTGGGGTTGCAGCAGGTGAGATCGAGGCTTGAGGCTAGCTGGTGATCGGATCGATGTTGAGAATGCGGAGAGGAGCGTTATTGTTGTTGCTGCTGCTCTGTCGTCTGTGTGGCCGTGGATATTTTTTTTCTGGGTGGTGTTGCGATGCGCTGGGATTGCGTGCTGGCTTGGCGCGGATGTGGGATATGGATCAACGAATTTTGGAGTTTACAGTGTTCCGGTCTACTTGCTGGGGTTTTGATCAAGGTGTCTGAATCATGAGAGTTGTCTTGTTGGTGTTTTATCTTGAGGTTCTGGTTGAGGTGGTTTGATGAGGTGCTTCTTGTTTGGAAGGGTCTAGAAGTATCCCTGGTTTTCATTGGTTTCTCCAAGGCTATTCCTCGCTCCTCCCCCGTCAACAAACAAGGTGAGCCCAGTTGAAGGTTCACACTTGGATGAGCTCCTATCCGACACATTGCCAATCTTCTAAATTGATCATAGTATCCATTTATCTCGTCGTCGCATCCAGAGTGTCAATATAGACACTCGAACAAAGGTAACAGACCCACTGCGCCAACACCCCTATTCGCGCCGCAGTGCATCCTTCCAGCACAGGCAGGTGCATTTCAGCCCAGCGTTCTCCAGCGCCTTGCACTACTATGCGCGGATCCATACTGTAACCTGTACCCGGCCATGCCATCCACCGTCGAAATTGTGCCATCGCAACGGACACGCCCCCCCTCAAGTTCTCGCCCACGCCGGAGAGCCCAACTTGCAGGAATCCCAGGAACAATAACGTAACAGTTCCCAAAGAAAGATGGTCGATCCCGTCCAGACCCAGACCGAAGGGCCCTTCATGCCTCGGGGTTGAAGCCCGACGATAGCCACGTCGGTTCGCCGGGTATGCGCAGCGGTGGACAGATGCAGCCTGGATCCCTCGTGGGTCGAGCCCGCCCCCTTGAAAACAATGTGTCAACATTGCAGCGTCCGCTCCTCCCTTCTGCCGGCGCAGATGACTGACATCCCGCGGACGTGCTTCTGCCTCGGTGGTGCTCTTCAGCTCGCCCCCCCCCCCCCCCCCCCCCCCCCACGGAGTTGGCCGATGAAGCGGTTGATGGAACCGAAGGGCATGAATTCGGAAAAGGCTGGTTTCCTGTGCCCCCATCTAGACTCATGGCGCTCCCTCGAGCCGAGGGAACGCCGCGCGCGTGTCTGTGATCACTTCGGTCAGCTGGCTACTGTGGTTCACGCCCAGCCCAGCCTCCTCTTCTGATGTGGGGGAGCCGGGAGGGAGAGACAGAGGCCCGCAGGTCCCTAACTTGGCCGTAGGTCAACCCCCCTGACACGTCTGGCTGACGCTCTGGCCCCCGAAAGATAGGTCTGCTCGATTCTGAGGTCGACATCGACTGCTCTAGTCGTCTTTGGTAGTTGTGGGATCAATGCCTGAGTCGAAAGCTTGACTCTTCACCTCGTTTTCTACAGCGAAAGCGAGCGCCGAGAGTCTGACCACGGTCCCGAGTGAAGCGTCAACGAGCGCCCACGCTGCAATGATCCTTCTCGCCAACAGAAACCTAACATGGCTAGGAGTCGCCGGGTGTCATCCCAAGAGCTTGAGGGAACCAGCGTCTAGGGACAGCGAAGTCATCACCTCCCTTCTTTCTGATGAAGACATGGGCCCTACAGAACCGAACAACAACATACGAGTAACGGTGGCAAAACGTCCGTATCACGGCCAGACACAATATTGTATCGAGCATTCGGATCCAGTCAACAAACCTTCGTCTTGTCGACACCGTCGAACCCTTCCCACCCCACGACACGTATCCAAGCCTCCAACTTTGCCGAGATCCTTCAACACTCCTGCTCCAGACCGGAACTTCCACAGCTGAACATTATCAACAGAAGCCATCAAATGCAAAACTAAAGGCCTGCGGTTTATGTGGATCTAACACATGACCTTCAGATAATCTTGGGGAGGCGAACCTCGCTGCGATTGAAGTTTTACTTCAGTCTGACGCTCTCCTAGCTGAGCTAAACCCACTGCTGATGTTGTGGATAGGATTCATGACTCGAATAGACCGGGGCAACCGACCCAGAAGGTCTGAATGGACATCCTCGATCCCCAGTTCCACCACTGGGGGAATACAGAAATCGGGATACAAAGCAGACTCTCTGGGGAGAAGAAAGTGCTCTCCGCGTGCGGGAAAGCCTTTTGACAAAACATGATACTCCCATGTCAGTCAGGGGGCCGTATGGGGCTTCTCCATAGCAGGCCTCGTCAAACTGCGACATGGCTACGCACGAATGTACAGACATCCCTTATTATTCTCGATGACAGACCTCCACCCCTCATCCGCACAGACACCGTCTAAGGCGAATAGGAAGTCAAAACCAGCACCGTCGACTCTGCTGAAAAAGCAGAGTCGCACAACAAAAAGAAAAGCTTGCGGTTTATGTGGATCGAACACATGACCTTCAGATATCAACTGGATTGACGGGTTGAAGTTTTACTTCAGTCTGACGTTCTCCCAACTGAGCTAAACCCGCTTCTTGATGCCGTTGTGGGTTGGTAATGCGCCTTCAACAGATCTGACTGGAGCGAAAGGGGGTTGAACGGGGCTCTGTTTTGCTTCCCACTCCACAGCGGTGGAGGCAAGAGGGGAACATCAGTCAAGTGTACAGGTGAACATCTCCTTACCGTTAACGCCGTCTTGCTTGATCGGTTGATAGGGTACTCGGTGCGATTCTCCGCCGAAGTTGCATAACCGTCCAGCGCGACAGGCTCGTGGCCCCAAACCAAAACCACCAAGGAGCCCAGCTTTGAGTAATTCACTCCTTAACCCCCCTCACAATCATAGATGATGTATCCCTCCTCCTGCCAAACCAGGATCGACCCCTCTGCGCTTGGTGATCACCAACGAGAACCACCAAGAAGGATGTGCATTTAACACACGACTTTCAGATGTGCCAGATGAAAGTTGATCATAAGCGGAAGTCTTCTGTAGAGATCTTCACCAGCTGCTCGGCGACACCCACTACGTGCGGAAATGGTGCCTAGAACAGACTGGGGCCCTCCCAACTGAGCTCAACTCGCTGTTGATGCCGTTTACCTAGTGAGATGAGATTCATAGGCGATGCTCGCTGCTCAGTGTCGGAACGAAACTGCCATTTTTCTAAACTTCTCTCCCTTTGTGCCTGCCACAGGCGCCACCTGAGCACAGGTCAAAGTAGCCTCTTGCCCAACAACAATCCCATCAAGCACCGCCAACGATGCCCACAGAGCCGCTCGTGCCCTCCGCTCCCGGTCCCGATCCTGAGGATGGACCTCCCCGCTTCTCGAGGGCCCTGAACTTGTTTACAACCCTCTCGATGCCGTCGCATCCCTTCTCAAGCGTTGCCATCTTGGGGCCGTACGAGAAGCGGATGAAGTGGTGGCAAGGACTGTCGAATAAGTCTCTGCGACGAGCAGGGTTCAGATCAAAGAAGATACCCGGCACGATGATGACCTTTTCCTCCAGGCAGGCCTGGAAGAAGTTGAGACCGTCGGAGACGGGGCCGGGAAGGCCCTCCAGGTTGAGCCAGAGGTACTGTGGGAGGTCAGTTGTGACTTCGGTGAGAGGGCTGGAGGGGATGCATACGAAGGTCGAGTCAGGGACGAGCTTGATGGTGAAGCCCATCGCACGCAGACGGCCGACGACGTAGTCGCGCTTGTCGCGAAAGTGGTGCTGGAGGGCGATCATCTCCTTCTTCACTAATCCGGGTTCGAGCATGGGGATTGCGGCCTCCTGGAACGGGACGTTGGTTCCACCATCGAGGTAAGAACCGCAGGAACCGATGCTGTGCTTGCGGACTTAGCTTCACGTTTCACTTCATGATGGAGGGAGACCAACGCCTTGATGAACTCCTTGGGGCCGATGATCCAGGCCACACGCCAACCCGGAAGACGGAAGCGCTTTGTGAGACCGTCGATGATGAGGACATCGTCTTCGTCGACGTCAATCACGTTTTCCTGTTTATATGGTTAGCCATCACCTCGCGGTTTGGATATGGGAAGCGTAGCGTACGGCAGCGCTGATGGTCGTTCCATCACAGTCCGATGTGTAGTTGTAGCCAGCATAGAACTCATCGCTGACAAGAGTGGCACGCTCTCGGCAGATATCCTGTATCTCAGCCAACTCTGGGTTTGCCACAACGCGCCCAGTTGGGTTGCGGGGGTTAGATGTGATGATGACGCCAGTTCCGCGGGCAATCTCCTCGGCGATCTTGTCCGGGTGGATGTGGTATCCATCCTCTTCTGACAGGGGGACTGGGACGGCGGCGAAGTTCTTGAACAGGGACAACATCTCATTGTATGCCGTGTAGTCGGGAATGAAGAAACCGACGTAGGCGTTGTTCAGCACGGCGGCGATACGGATTAGACCAGCGCGGCCACCAGGAACGATTGCGACATTCTCCCAGGTGTACTGGCTGGGCTTGCCCTTTCGGTGCATCTCGTTGTAGAGATGGGCCACAGCCTCTCTGAGAGGCTTGATCCCTGCCGTCGGGCCATACTCACGGCTGTCGGGGTTGAGCTCGAGGTGAGTTGGACGGGGGAAGCAACCTTTGATGTCGTCCTCAACCTTCAAACCGGGGACTTATTAGATGGTCGGCTGTCTTGAACAAGATGGGTCTCATACCTCGGGGGCGCCCTCTGTTGGGGGTGTCAGCATCAAACGACACTGCCCAAGGGAGATGGTGGAACAATCAGACAATACATACGGCCTAGATTTGCCCACTTGTCGGGCTCGTCGAAGAAGCCATGCTCGCCGGCTCGCTCCGTACACCACACAACACCGGTCGAGGCTCTGGTGGCGTCAAGACCGGCATGGGGTAGATGTCCTTCGTGGGCAGCTCTGAACTGGCGGTGAATCTTACTCGATGCCTCGCTCAAACTCGGCTCCCCGACGGAAAATCGGCGACAGGGTCTGGGGACTCCCGTGTTTCTGTTGATGCTGAATTTGCGAGCGAATGAAAACGACATGTTGACGATTTCTTCCTTTTCCAGCCCGGGCATAGCAACCAGGTCGGAATGCGGTTTGCAGAGGCAAAACCTGTTGCTGTATTTGTACCCGGAAATCGAATTTGCGGGCCGGCAGTGAACAAAGACTCGAGCAGGGCAGAGCGTTTCACGACAGCCAAACCGTGAAGCTTATGTCTCCCCTGAAAAGTATGGATGAAGCGAAAGCATTTGGGACCGCAACCCTGAAGCCCAATCCTACGCTTCTTGTTCACCGACTAAACATATTCCGGGCAGCGCCCAGCAGCTAGAAAAACACCGCTACACACAGTGCTATGCACGTCGGGCTTACCCGAGATCTGAGTGGCCAGTGGAACGTAGCTGGCTCGTACTTTTCCCGCCCTGCGTCCGGTTCGACAGCATGCTAGAAATGTCGAGTCTGATTGGTGTGATTTCCTCGACTCTCCGCTCCCAGGACGGAGGCGTGGGAGGCTCGTTTGCCATCCCATCTTGTTGCAAGCCGTGGGGAGGTCCAGCTAGGCTGTTAGCTAGGCTAGTGCTCGAACTGTGTTATCAAGAGAGTGTTTGTTTGGGCACCGCTACTGAACGAATTGGGGAACCTGTTTTCGTACCTGTTTTGTCACTCTCTGAATTCGGGACTGGAGGTTGTTGAATGAGTTGTCAGCAATCAACCCCACTCCTGACAAGCTTTGGGCAGGTCCCCTGCCAAGGACTCTAGGCCTTCACCGCTGATCCTCTCCTCTGTTTGACTGTGCAGAAAAAGCTGGACAAACGCAAAACTATTCTGCCTGGGGCATAAAGGAGAAACGAGACGGTGTGACCTAAGAATACGTTCATCGATCACGTATTGAGGCTGTATCTCAATCAACTGGTCGGGGCTTCCTGTGGAAGCAGTAGCTCCACCCACCACGCTTTCCTATGTGAGAAAGTCGAGGGTGACGGGAATCTTGCTGGGCCCATGATTTGTAGAAAATCTCAGCAAGAAAGCGGGAGAATACCCGTGAGCTGATATGCTGTTATAGATGCTTGTGCGGTAGGCCACATGGGTGGCCTAGGCGAAAGTTGGCGGAACTTCTGCGTTCCACCTCCCGGCAGGTAGGTAGGTGCCTGCCTAACTTTGCTGTGGTGCTGGCCTGAAGCGTCGAGCAGCCGCCAACACTACGGCAGTTTGAGCTTCTGAGCTTTCCGAAATGGAGGATGTGTCTTCTTGAAAATTCATGCTAGGAAGATGCCGTTGCAACGGCCTCACATCCCGATGCACCAGTGTTTGACATGCAGTGAAAACCTCCGATGCGGTAAGTGTTTCAACCAGCCACGCTGCCGATCTCCAGTCTGACCGTTGTTCCAGCGTCGATCGTGTTTATGATCTCCGCGCTGCGTCAGACCGATGCGGATCTGTGGTTGAGATGGGCTTACATCGCCAACTAGGCAAGATTACCGTGATTATTTTCTCCCAGCAAGCGAGACGTGATGCTGGCGGCCATCGCGGGCTTTCGCTCTCCCCGGACCCGGTAATTTGATGCCAAGCCAGCCGAGGGAACTATGCCAAGCCCACGGTTGATGCAAGTCGCGTGACCGCGTAAAGTGGTTTTATTCTCCGTTAAGCGGCCCAGCCGTGAGGTGTGACGTCTGCAGGATGCACTGCCCTTGCCGAACACATGCCAAGTTTCAAAGGTGAAGAAGGCAGAAGCAATCGAGAGATCACTGTGAATCTCGAGACATGTGTGATGCTATACGTCAGAAACCCGCCCAACGGGTTTTCCAGCCGTGTCGCCCCATATTTACGAATCTGGCATCAAAGAACGAGGGGGCCTGTCGCTGCGACCCCTCCGTCGACCTCGCTGAGCGCCTCCCGCTCAACAACGCAGCCAAGCAGCCAAGCAGCCAAGCAAGCGACGGTGGCAAGGGATCGTCTCTGTTCGACGCGGTCGCCCAGGCTTCTGACAGCCCGCCCAAACTAGAACGGGCAGCGCCGAAGCGCTCTGATTGCCAGTTGAATACTGACCATCAACGTGATTGAGCACGCTTGGCTTGAAGGGGTTGGCTGCTTCATTGAGTGGCTCCACCCATTGTAACCTTGTGAAGCTCCCCACACTCTCTCGCCCTTATTCAGCCTCACTTCGTTCACCAACACCTCACACTTCCTCCTTCCTTCACCCAACCGCGTCTCATCGGCATCAGTCCACCCGCCCTTCTGCCAGCTAGGTTGTGCGCCCTCCGGTAAACCTCTCCTTGCAACCCCCTCAATTAACTTTTCTCACGCCTGGGAAACTTTCAAAATGGGAAAACGCAAGTAGGTTATCGGCCTCAACAGCGAGGTGCTTGGGAACTCTACGCAGTAAGCTCCCACGGCTTTGCCTCCTCGCGTATCGGAGACGAATATTCCATATCTCCAAACATTCCGGTCCCCGAACCTCCCGCATCGTTCCGATCGCCCCTTTCGCGCTCTATCGCTTGATCGATCCCATCTCCGACGCTATTTACCTCGCTGGCTCCGCCCGCCGCTATCAGCTGTCCTGTGCGCCGACGA